GAAGTATCAACTTGACCTCTTTAATCAAGTAAAAGTGGAAAAAAGTATGTGCTCCAAAAACTACTTAAAGTATAAAAGTATAAAGTAACCTTTATAAAAAAAAAACTGCCAGATACCAGTATATGAATTGAAAGCTCAATTTTTCGACTATTTCCAAAAATACTTTGAGATAGGGCCAAGGATGAGGGAGGTCTTGTTGGTCTCCGTCTCCAGATACGCTCTTGCCTGTGTCCGACCTTTCAGACATTTCAACATCTTTTTCTGAATCCTACATTGCAGCATGGCATAGACAATTCACATTAACCAATGAGTGTTTGCGTTATATGACTCATCAATCACACTAGTTTTCACTAGATGTGGATGGAGCCAATGATCTGCATTGGATGGCGCACATGACGGGAAAAAATATTAATAAACATTAAACCGAAGCCAAGAGTAATGAGTAACGTTTGTTTAAAAAATGTAAGGAATAGAAAATACAGATACTTGTGTGAAGATGTAATTAGTAGAAATCAGAATTAGGAAGAAAAATAAGTAATGGAGTAAAGTATAGATACCTTAAAAGTGTACAGTACTTAAGTTCAGTAACGAAGTATTTGTACTTCGTTACTTGACACCTGTGTATTACCTTTTGTAAATTAAGTTGAAAAAAGTTAACAAATCAAGAAAAAAGGTAATAAGTCTAGTTAACAATTATATTTAGGTTTATAAACTAAAAATCCAAGGTCCAGTTAAAGCATTAATGCCTCTAAGGTTATGTTGTACTAGAAAAAAAAGGTGTTTCTTTCCCTCTCAGAATGTTTTTCATCAATTTCTTATAGAAGCACTTTTTATTATTTTTCTTAATATATTTGGGCAGGTTGGCGTTTCTAGTTATTGAAATTCATTTTTTCCATCAAAATATCCCTATTTTTAATGTTACAAAGGTAATAAGGTCTTGTACTGGATTCTAATAACACTATTGGCTTGAAATTATGATTTTCAAAGTATTTTACTGGAGTGCCCTATAAAGGGTTAACAGGAGAGATTCTTTTGTATGACTATGTAATGATTTGTTTTTCTTAACCTCTAAAATAGTATCATCATCAGGAGATGTTTGGCAGTGTGGTGTTTGCTTTTGCTTTAGCAAATTTTAAATGAAACCCTCTCTATAAAAACCTTCTGTAGGTGATCCCTTCTTACTCAGCAACTATATTAGTAACATTGTTGAATACTTGTTGCAGAGTCACACCCTGTTGCTCATAAAGGTGGGTCACTAATCATCAGACACCTGCTTTTATAATGAGCAGAATGAGCAGCTTTAGAGTGAAGGTTGGTTTGTCTCCAATTACTCTGCAGACATGAGGCGTGCTCACCCCTGCCGGTCGTGCGTGGAACTGATCCAGATCATGAGGGGGCTGGACTTGGTCCAGGTACGAGAAAGGGGAAGAAAAAAAAAAGCTGGCAGGGTGATGAAGAGGGAGATCTCCTCCTGAGAGCTTCCAGTCCGCAGAAACACTGAAGCAGAGCGCAGCGAAGGAGCGCAGCTCATCCAGATCGGTGCCAGACGCACAGCGCGTTTTGGTTATTTTTATTAGAGAAACTTTCTTCGCTTTTTTTATTTTTATTTTTTTAAGAAAAGCAAAACCTTTAATTCAAATTGCAAACAATGGTTTATTAGTTAAAGGATACCTTTGGATTGAAGTGATCCACTCCTTACGCGCAGGTAGGAACTTTATAATTAACCTGTAATTTAAGAAACTTTTGTATCACATCTGACTTTTAAATCTCTTCTTTCTTTATTTAGGAACCTTGTTCAGGTGAAAGTGATTATTTCCTCTTAGCGCGGCAGCTTGGGCTGATTTCTTTATTTAAAAAAGCAGAAGAAAAAAAAAACAGAAACCAAAACTCGCCAGGTTGACTTTATCTGGGAGGTTTTTGCTGCTGAGCTGTCCCAGAAATGGTGGGGCACCTACATTTACAAGCGATGGATGACAGCCTTAAAGGAAAGAACCGGGAAGGGCTCCTCGACAGTCCGGATTCGGGCCTGCCCCCCAGTCCCAGTCCGCCCTTCTGCTCTCTGTCTCCGGCTCCCATCGAGACGCGCTCCGGCGGCTGCGCGACGCCTGTTGACAGCATTCCTGGATGTTACAGAAAGGAGAACAGAGAAGGAAAACTGGTAAGAAACACTCATCTGAACTGATTTACATTCATATGAATATTTAAAGGCAGCAGATTCAAAGTCACAATGAATTACTTTATGATTAAAAAGGAGACAAAGTGGGAAGATTTGAGGTTTGAGCAGAAACAGATTTCAGATCAGCTTCTTCTCTCACATCTGGAAGCTCTCTCTCTCCTCTGCCTCAGCTGCAAACCTCTGATCTTTCTCCTTTGGTGGAGATTGGCCCCTATTAGGAGGCTGCAGAAGCATCAGCTGGGCTCCAGCTAAGGTCAGCCAGTTGATACTGTTGGCACAGGGGGTCCGGGGACTCCAAGGGGCCCCTTATAGGTGAGATGTTTCAGCAGGATGACAGGAGCCTCCAAAACAAAATGTGAAATAAATGACTGCTTAGTGATTGGCTCTTCTCCTCTTTACAAAAATCCCCCAGGAGATTTCTGTTTAAACCTGTTTGAAGCAGCTAATTGCTTGTTAATCAGGTCTGGACCTCCCCATCCTGTTTGAGGAGAAGGATTCAAACATCTCCATAACATTTGGACTTTTCCACTAGAACAGCATTTCTTCTCCTTCAAT